TTACCTGTGTGACTGTCAACAGTAGACCAGGACATGGCTCCCTCACAGTGGAGGGCTCAGTCTGACCCTTTTAAAGAAGTTCCCCTTCTTCATGGAGGAGAAGTACGAGGGCTCTCAGCACCCCTTGCTCAGGGATGAAGCTGAGAGTGGTGACAGTTACAATGTGACAAATCCATGTTATTGCTTAGATGGTTGTGTATGGACATTCTTTAACTGCTCTGTGACTATTTCATCTTGGGAAACAGTGAAGGAGGCTAAGTGCCTTGTATACTTGAGTACGCAAGACTGTATGACAACAATATGAAGAAAGCAGAAGGTAGCCTGTACTTGCTAGCACCTGGATGGTGCAAAGAGTTTGCACTCACCTACTAACCTACAGATTGGTGGTTTGAATCCCCACCCCACCCAAAGGTGCTGAGAAAGATTGTCCTAGTGATCTGCTTCTGTAAAGATTCCAGCCAAGAATGTTCTATGGAGTACAATTCTACTCTTGCTTATGGGGTTGAAAATGGGTTTGGTTTCTGGTTGGTTTAACACCAAATGTATACCAAGTTCTGCTGTTAGTTTCTGCTGTACTTAGCGAGATGGAAGGACTTCACAAGTTTCCTGTGAATTCAGAACTGTGTTTTTTGATCATTGGTTTCTTCTGCATTTTGACAGGGCTGTTTGGACATTATAGTCTCTGGCTGGTTAAAATCTTAATGTACTTGGCTTCTACCTGAAGGATTTTTTAGACCACTTAAAAGTACCTTAAAAGACAAACACCTAGTGATCAACCTCTGAAAAGCAGCCACTGAAAACCCCATGGAGCTGTTTCACTCTGACCTCCAAGATCGTCAAGAGTTGGAATCAACTCCATGGTAACTGGTAATGTGGACATCACAGAATCAAACTGGCTGTGGCAGACTGTCCCTGACAATCCCATACTAGGTCAGTGAGTCAGTCACCCTCTTTGTCTTGTTCCCTTTGTTACACCCAATTTTCTTTCCTTGGTTCTTGCCACAAGCCTCTGGGTTGGGAGGTCTGCACTCATCCTTCCAAGCTACCTTGAGTGAGGTTAAGTCACCGCCAACCAACATTACCTTGCACAGGGCCAGGCAGAGAGTGGGGCATCTCCTGTGAGTCGTCATCATTTGTTTTGTATGTTAAGTTGTCATTGGCCACTGAAGAAAGGAAGGAAAATAAGGGCAAGTCATAGAGACTGGGGGCCAAAGAAAGAGTGAATGTAAAATGTCCAGGGTGGAGGGACCCCCAAGACCCAAGGGCAGAGGTTTGGTATCATCTAAGGCTGGTGTTATGGCTTGAATCATGTCCCTCAAAAAAAGATATGTTGAAGTCCTACCCTCTGTTACCTGTGAATGTGAACTTAATTGGGAAGAGGGTCTTTGAAGAAGTAATTAGTCAACATGAGCTCATATTGGAGTAGGATGGACCCTAAACCAATATGGCTGGTGTCCTTACAAAAAGGAAAAGTGAAACAAAGACACAACAGAGGGGTAGATGGTCACACGAAGATAGAGGCAGAAAATAGAGTGATATATCTACAAGTCAAGGAACTCCTGTGGCTACCAGCTGCTGGAAGGGACAAGGAAGGATCTTGCTCTAGAGCCTTTGGAGGCAGCATAGCCCTGCAGACATCCTGAATTTGGACTTCTCTCATCCAGACTGTGAGAGAACAAATTTCTGTTCTTTTAAGCCCTTCAGTTTGTGGTGCTTATTACAGAAGCCCTGGGGAACTCATGCAAGGAGGAAGCAGCTGTTCTGGGTTCTGGGCCTCACCAAGGCCTCTAGCAGTGAGCACAAGCCTTCTGGAAAGGGCTGTGTATGGGTAGGTGGTTGTATGGTAAGGAGCAGACCAATGAAAGGACAGGACGCACAACATCTAGGCAAGATAGGTTGGGGATATACAGGTGTAGGACGTTGTCTATCTTTCACCTGGCGTGATCCTTTCCTCCTTGATGGATCCAGGGATAGCCACAGCAGGGCCAGAAAGGCTGGATGGTTCACCCAAGGTCTCGCTACTTTGACGAATGGAGGCCTTATGTTGGATGACCCTCAGTGCAAAGGGCGGATGGCTTGATGGTGGTGGTAGGATTGGTGGCCTTGGCAGCAGGTCTTGGATTGAAGGCCAGATGTTGGAGCTCCCTTCTGTTGGGTCGGCTGGGGCTGCAGATAGGATTGACATGGCTCTGTTCCACCCTCCGTAGGCATCACCAACTGGGATTAGTGAATGAATACATATTAGCACCTGGATACTCAGAATTAGGTATTTGGAGAAGGAGAATTTGTCATTCCTAACTTCCAACAGGATGGAATCCTTCTCCCTCCCCCCAGGTGCATAGAACTGCATTCAGCCTCATCATCGGTCCATCTGTGGCCCCTTCCTGTTTTGTTTACTTTAGTTGGGTATTCTATGTCACGATAACTGCATTAACCCCTGGATTAAGGCCAAAGTGGTTTCACAGATAAAGTTGAATTTGACTTTGTATCCAGGAATTTAACTTCCTTCATTCTATTCTTTAACTTTGTTTGTATGGGTAGATACTTGCTGTACATGAAATCATTTTAGTAGAGGTCTCTGTTAGTAAATAAACATGTCACTTCCCTGGAGCAAAGAGAATAAATCCAGCTTCTTCAGCATGGCATGTTAGAACCTTCACACCCCAGTTTTGTTCATCAATGCAGACTTGTGGCTCCCTCCTTACACACTACGATTGCCACACTAAACATCTTCCTACCCCCTGTACCCCAGGCCCAGAGCTTTCTGTGCGCTCTTCCCCTCCATGGCCAATGCCAGGTTTCTCTTATCATTCTCCTCCATCATTTATTTAAGAAGGAAGGTTTGTCCCAACTAGTAAACAAAAAAGAGGGTGTAGGGACAGATTTGAGAGAATGACCCAATGAACCCTCTATCACAGCGTTGCAGACACAGGAGGCTACTGGAGTGCAGTCAGGCCAGGGGCCCATCCAGCTCTGGGCCCCTCTGGCTCACAGACCTGCCTGTTGTTAGATCAGCTTAGCGTGGCCTTTAGTTCCAAGCTTCTCCCCTCATTGCCCAGTGCTGCCAGGAGGACCAGGCCGCCTGCGGTGCCACCTCCATGGAGGTCAGCATTTGTTCTTTGCTGCCCCGTTAGCTCTAGGGATGGTGATGTGTCACTGATCAGATGAAGTGCTGTCAACAGTGATGACTCCATTAAAGAAAATGTCACAGTTCAGTGATATCTGGTGGCCTTTCCCATTGTTCTCAGGTACGTGAACCACATGATTTGGCCTGAGTGTTTTTCCTCAGTGTAGAATAATTTCCCTCTTGCCCTTGCTGCTTTCTTCCCAGCTCGGCCACTACTCTTTTTCCTACTCCCTTCCTTACCAGGTCTTTCTCAGTGGACTCAGTACACTTCACACTCTATTTCTTTCTCGTGCCCTCTCTGTCTGTCTCTATGTCCCCTCTCTTCTTCTTTAGTTATGTCATTCCCTCTTTCAGCTTTATAATCTGGCTTCCAGCTTGTCCGTGTTTAGGAGACTTGTTAAAATTGTGTGCTCTGGCATTGGGGGACAAAATCATGACTCCTGGCTCTGCTTCTTAACAGACAAGTCACTTTGGAGAAGTCATCTCTGAAGTATAATTTCCTTATCTATAAAATGGGGATAGTAATGACGTCACAGGATTATTTGAAAGATGACATATGATGACCACATGCAGTGCTTGGGATAATTAATGCCTGGCACACGGTAAGTACTCAGAGAAATGGTACTTGTTATTGTTCATCCCTATCCATTTCTCTTCCTCCCTGGCTCTCCTTGTCCTTCCACCAGACCTGGTCTCTGTAACTTTGCATTTCCCAAGAGTTACTGTCATCTGATGTTTTACATAGAGATTCTTCATATGCTAAGCTGTACAATTTTCCCCAAATCCATGGAGCAGCTGAGACATAAGCATTTGTGTTCCCTAGAAATTCACCATAGAGGGTCAAGGTCTCAGTTGGCAAGGGGCTGAACTTCCTGCTACACCTTCCCAAAGAGAGAGCAGGAAATTGAAGTGCCTATTCCACTGAGCTGAAAACAAACCAAACTTTTGACACAGCAACTTCTCACATGCTTCTGCAGCCCCTAAAGCATTTGAGAAACCTTATTACCACTTCTGAAGCTCCTGAGAATCGTCAGTAGGTTGGGGTATTCGCGCAGGTTAGTGGAGCTGAACAACGCCACCAGAAGTGATGGGTCAAACATTCTCTCCAGGTTGGTGAGAGTCTTGTGCACCACTCTTGCCACAGGAACCAAATTTCGACAGGCTTCCACAGATGCCTTAAGAAAAGGAACAAAGATTATTAGAAATAATTATAAAGTTGAGTAGGGGGTGATTATACACTCATGGTTTTATAAGTTGTCAGAAAGATTATACACTTGTGGGTTTAAAAATTGTCACATTTAGTATTTTTTTTTAAAAAAAAAAGAGTAGCTGCTGAAACTGCTTATGCACAACCAAACACCTCACGGGATTTGGTTCCTTGGTTCAGAGGTTTAAGGCATGTTTTCATGAGACACCCCAGTTATTTGGTCTAATAACATATTTAATGCTTATATTCTATCTCTAGTTCATTGTATAGTGTCTGAGGTGTTAAAAGCTTGCAAGGGGCCACCCAAGATAAAATAATTGGTCTGTATTTGCCTGGAGCAACAGAGGAAGAAGAAGTCGAGAATAGGTGGAAGATATGGAGCATGTGTCTAATTATCTCTGTGAACAACTGCCCCCTTTGCCATGAGACCAGAAAAACTAGATAGTGTTTGGCTACCATTACTGAACATTTTAATCAAAGATTCTATAGAGGAATACTGATCAAAAGGGAGGAAAGTACAGAACAGATTTCAAATTCTATGGACTTCAGACCTTCTGGAGACATGGAATCTGGGTGAAACTATTATCCTGGAATAATCTTTAAACTTTAAATTAAAAAATGTCCCCAAAAGTCTTCTTAAAACCAAACAATAGTTAAGCTTAATTAGTAAAAAGGTCTGCCTTGGGCACTGTGCTCTTTTAAAAACGATCTCTGTGGGCTCAAATTGACAACAGCAATGGGAAAGACTAGATAGGAACTATAGGGTGCAGTAAGTTCATGTTAACAGAGAAGGAGCAACTTAGAAAAGGAGGGTGAGGGTGGCTGCATGACTTGAAGAATGTAACCAGTGTCACTGAGTTGCACACGTGGCAACTGTTGAGTTGGTGGATGTTTTGCTGTGTATATTCTCAACAACAAGATAAATAAATAAAAACTAAAATATATACATTCTCAGAGGTCACAGTTCCACATGCTTACCTTTGAAGCTTCATATATATTTGGGTGACTAGTCTCTTAGGAATAAGTAAGTTAGCCTTCTTTAAAAGTAAGTCCATTTTGTGAATCTTATTTTTAGGAACACTTGAGAGAGGAGAGAAATTTTAAGGATGGAAAGTGGGCTCAAAGTGAGCCAACTGGTTACCATCAAGTTGCCTCCGATTCACACATGACTCCACGTGTGTCCAAGTAGAACCATGCTCCGTAGGGTTTTAATGGCCAATGGGCTAGAAGTAGGTCACCGGGCCTTTCCTCCAGCACACCTCTGGGGGAACTTGAACCTCTAACATCTCAGTTAGCAGCCAGATGTGTTAACCGTTTGCAGCACCCTGGGATATTCAAAGTAAGCTCTGCTTAATTATCTGTTTAAGACTTTGGTCAGGATGCTTCAGCAATGGACCTAACAGTTAGTCACAGTGACAAGTTTACTGACTGTTCCTTAGCCTCTGCTATGTCTTCGATTGACTTGAGTGGGTTCCAGACACAGGGAGAACACCCAGAAACCTCTAGCTGAGAACATGGCCAAACTGGACAACATGACAGGTGAGAACAGATTGAAAAATATTTACCGAGCACATACTTAGGCTGGCTGAGCTAGTCCTTAGGTACACAGCAGTGGTAAGATCAACATGGTCCTGCCCATATCAGGGTAGTCTGGTGAGAAGATGGGCATTAAACAGTAAACACAAATTAAATAAATACCTGTGATGGTTAAGTTTATGTGTCAACTTGGCTAGACCATGATTCTCAGCGGTTCAGCAGGTGCGATGTAATCATCTTCCATGGTGTGATCTGTTGTAAGCAGCCAATCATTTGAAAGTAGAGTTTCCTTGGGGGTGTGGCCTGCATCAAATAAATATGGATGTTCTGGCAAACCTTGTCCTCTCTATATCCTGCATCCCACTCGTTATCCTCTGACCTTTAGTTCTTGGGATATGAGCCAGCACCGTGTCACCAAACCTTCAGACCTTGGGATTTGCCATCTCCCACAACCCTGTGAGTCAGAAGCCTTCTGCAAGACCCACCAATTTAGGGTTCATCAGCCCCTGTAACCACGTGAGTCATAAGAAGCCTCCAGTCCGATGCCTGAACCATGGATTTAGGGCTTTCCAGTCTCCATAACTGCATGAGCCATTTCCTTGAGATGAATTTATACATATATACACTAATTTTGCTTTGTTTTTGCCATTATACAAATCCTTTATCTAAATCTTCTTACTTAATCTTCCTAACAATCCAGTGAAGCAAATATTACTATCCCCATTTTCAAACAAAGTAATAGAGGCTTGGAGAGTTTGAGGGGTTTACTCATTCCACTCAGCTAGTAAGCAACAGAACAAGTCACAGCCTGCCCTGTAGGAGACCAAAAGCCCCATCTTAACACTTCTCATCCTACTTTCTAAACAAATGTGTCTTCTACAACTGTGATTTCCTTGTGACTACAGACCACAGCCCTTCTGCATCTTTTCATCTCCAGGGGGCCTGGCACATGGTAGGTGGTCAGTTAGTATGTATTCAATCATTCTCAGAAAGGTAAACACTTGTTCTGGTTCCCTAGTGCCGCTCTAACAAGAATATACCATAAATGGGATGGCCTGAACAAACAGGAGTTTGTTCTCTCACAATTTGGAGGCTTTAAGTCCAAGTTCAAAGTGCCAGGCTTGAGGGGCTGGGTGAAAGCCCCTCGACCTTGGCCTTCAGCTCTGCCTCTTGCTCCTGGCCCACTGAAGCTGGGCACTCAGGCAGCTACTGGCTGCTGAGGCTGAGAAGCCCCAAGGTTGACAAGTAAAAAGGCACAGTCCCGATGTTACCAAACCATACGGTAGGCCATTAATTCAAGTGCATTGTAAGTCCCAAGGTCGGCAGAGCATGGCAGGCTGCTGAAGGACAACACAGCTACATGCAGGGTCCAAGTGTTCCATATGCTAGAGACTATCCCCAAGGCTTCTCCTTATATGCAGGAAGCAGACCACATTCCAAAGGCAGCTACTCAGCTGCTTGTGGTAGATCCCACCATGGATTTGATTGCATCTCATCATGGGGAATAACTACCACCAGCTGCCCAGCCACTCAACCAGGCCCAGCCAAGTTGACATACAAATTTAACTACCATGACACTTAAATGGTGGTTAAGTATATAAATTGACATATCCTTTTTTTGGAAAGCAATAAAGAAACATCAATAAAAATGTAAAATCTATAATCATTCTATAACTAGGCATTGATCCAATGGACTTGCTCTCATAGGTTGCAAAAGTACATCTATCAGGATATTCTTTATGTTATTATTTATATTACTTAAAAAGTTGAAGCCACCTAAATGTCCATCAACAGAGGACTGGTTAAATAAATTGGAGAACATCAATACTATGCAGCCATTAAAAACAGTGTGGTAGATCTACGGATGATACACTGAAAAGAATACTAAGGTTTACTAACAAGTGAAAATGCAAGATGTAGAACAGAATATAGAGTATGATCTTATCTGTATAAATTCTTTAAAGGATTAAACATATGTCAGTCCAGTAGGACACAAGATACATTAACAGTACACTTCATTTGCTCCTCTAGAGAATCCCACCTAAGACATTTGGTACTGAGAGTGATACTAGAGGGAAAAAAATCTTAAGGACAAGTTTTCAGAATTGGTTCTCAAGTCTGGGTAGACTTAAATACACTAATGACTTGAATTCCAGTAAGGAACAGTGTACAGCTAATTCATGGCATAAGGTGGCAGTAGAAATAAATATAATATCACCACTCTGGACCACATATTTGTGAGAAACAAGGCTCTGGGTGACAGTGTATTTGGTTTCTTTCAGCATTTCTGTCAAACTGAGAAGTATAGGGAAGCTTATTGTTTGGTCCTCCTTTCACTAGACAAAGTGGTAAAAATGAAGGTGGACCAAATGTGCATCCCTGCCCAATGCACTATGAGGCCAAACTAGTTTAGACACTGAGTGATTAAGGATAAAAAAAACAAAACACAAAATTCACTGCCATTGAGTCAGTCTGACTCATAGCAACCTCTCCTTGGGTTTCCGAGGCAGTAGACATCTCTACAGAAATTGATTGCCCAACCTTCCTTCGGAGGAGTGGCTGGTGGGTTTGAACTGCCAGCCTTCTGGTTAGCAGTCAAGTGCCTTAGGCACTACACCACCAGAGTGATTGTTGTTGTTGTTATGTGCCCTCGAGTTGGACTCATAGCGACCCCTCCTTGGGTTTCCCAGGCGGTGTCACTACAGAAGTAGATTGCCCAACCTTCCTTCCAAGGAGTGGCTGGTGGGTTTGAACCGCCAGCTTTCTGGTTAGCAGTCAAGTGCCTTAGGCACTACGCTACCAGAGCTCCTCTAGAGTGATTATGAGGAGAGAAAATTATTTACCAAGTGGCAATGCAAGGAGACGGGGGTCGGTACCCAAATCTGACTCCTCGAGCGGAGGTTGGGATACAGTTTTTGTAAAGTTCAGGAGGGGCTTATACATAGTCCTAAAAATTTCAGGAGTTTGGGTGTGAATCAACTGGGGATTAGCTGAGGCTCCCTTCACCTCATTTTAAAGGGACAGTCAATTTTTAATGCAGTGCATTTCCAGATGTGTCACACGGACTTCCTGTCATCAGGTGATTGGAATTTGGGCAGAGGAGAAAGTGTCATTTGGGCGTTTGCCCAAAGTTGATTTCGAGTTGTTTTCTGAAAAACGAGGAAATACATTAAATACCTATTCACCTGTTTCCAACTAGGGTGGAGGATAACCCGGGTCCCTGCACACCAGGTGGGCAGTCAGGCCAAAATAGTAGTTTACACATGGAGATTGAGAGGAGAAAAATTATTTATTGCAAACCAGCAGTGCAAGGAGTTAGGGGTAGTTTAGTACCCAGATCTAAACTCCCCAGCATGGAAACCCAGTTTTTGTAGGTTTCAGGAGAGGGGGTTGAGCATTTTCATAAAAGGTTGAGGAATTAGGGCATGAAAGTGACACTAGTTTCCCATTATCAGCTGATAGGGCCTGGCAGAGGGGAAAGCTTCAGCAATTAACTTTTGTTCCTTTTGTCCTATTGCACTTGTCCAGGACAGAGCTAATTTACAAGTTGTTTCTAAAATACTTCTATTGTCCCAGCCACAGTTAATTTACAAGTTGTTGCTAAAATACTTTTAGCAAGTCTATCATCTGCAGAAAAGAATGTTTTCTATTCAGTTCTTTAAGGAACTGAATACTCATCTGTCAGGGGTGGGAAAATAGTTGGGGATAATTTAGTTTACTTATCTATTCCCATCCCGGGGTCAGGGTGGGGAAAATAGTTTTTACTTTACTTGGTTTCAATTCCCCCTTGGAATAGATACTGTTCCACATTCTTGGGGAACACTTTACTTGGTTTCAAAATGAACCTCAATTCAACTCAGCTCCCAAGAAACCAACCTCTCATGCCTGCCCACTTGCCCCTAACCAAGGTGATAGACAGGATGGAGGACTAAGTTTTGATTCTACTTGCTTCAGGAGCAGGAGATGAACTCAGGGTTTCAGAGCCACAGCTCAAGCACTGCATAAACCAAAAAGCACTGCATACAAGACCTGAAAGTTGTCACTCGTGCCCTGGAAATAAAGCGTTATTTCTTATAGTAACAAATGATATTGCTGAAAACCAAATCCAGAGTCTTACCACAAGAGAGGCTGAATTACAAATGCCAATTGAATTTCCAATCTCAAATGCTGTCTGATGTTGAAGTGAGGGAGACTGGGAAAAATGGGATTCTGAAACTTGAGATGGGGACATACCGGCAGATAATCAGGAAGCTGGGGACACTGAGCCCCCCAAATTCCATTAAATCACTGCTGCCAACAGAATCAGACCTCTTACTCCCATCTGAAAAGATTGCTTCATGCCTGTCTGCTAAACCACCCTCCCTAGTAAAACACTCATCTGATGGGATTGACCCATCCTTTCTATACCCATCTGCTAAGGTTAACCCAGCTGATGCTAAAGAGCCTTTGTCTGAGATATCACCTGGGGCAGCATCTGGGCTTTGCCAGAGCACTGCCTGAGGTAGATGCCTTACAATGTGAAGCCTGAGTCCTAATGGCCTCCAGGTAAGTCTTTAACCAGAAGTCTTTAGTGTTGGGGATCCTAACACTCCCCATGCCTCAGGGCTTTTATCTACCCTCCGGATTCAGCACGAATCAGAGATTTGCCTGGCTCCTGAAGTCTCCCACTTATCAGAGCTCTGCATCCTCCCTAGATAATAATTCCCTAAGTAGACTTTGGAGCCAGGGGATTCCAACATGTCCCCCAACATCTCAGACCCCTGCCCTAAACCCCTTAGCAACAACCAATCATCTGTACCCCTTAGCCCTGGTGCTACTCCACCCTATATTTTTCCTATAAAACTGTGATAGTAAAGGAGCACGAGGTCTTTTGCTCAACCCGCTATGTTGGTGAGAGCAGGGACCCTAGCTCGAACTAGCTAATAAACTCTCCTTCTTGCACTTGCATTGTCATGTGTTGTCAAATTCCTTGCGCCCAACAACTCCTTCATAACCTGGGCCCAACAACAAGATACTGCTCAATGTCCTAAGGATGCACCCTCACTACTCCTTTTTCCTTCTAGACTTACAAAACAAACAAAAAACCAAACTCCCTGCCATCAAGTTGTTTTCTGACTCATAGCAACCCTTCCTTGGGTTTCCGAGGCAGTATCTCTACGGAAGTAGATTGCCCAACTTTCCTTCCAAGGAGTGGCTGGTGGGTAGATGTTAAGTCCCAGTGAGCCCCAAGACGTAAAAATACAATGCATTGATGTGCAGTCAGATCCGACTCATAGCCACCCTCCTCGGGTTTCCGAGGTGGTATCACCATGGAAGTAGGTTGGCCAGCCTTCCTTCTGAGGCATGCCTTCCTTCCAAGGGTTTGAACCACCAGCCTTCTGGTTAGAGTCAAATGCCTTAGGCACTATGCCACCAGAGCTCCTGAGCCCCAAGAGGTGGAATACAAAGTGTGACCCAGGAGGAGGTCACACTCCAAAATAACTGCTTGATTTTTCTATATATACAAACAGAAACTTGGGGGACATGTGTGGGATTGGCTATTAAGGGTGTGGGATAATGAATGGTTCAAAGAACATAAAGTTGGATCAGTCTGAGTTTATTGATAATGGACCCGCCAAGCATAGATTTTTCATTCAGCTCAAGAGGTTAGAAAAAGATCTGAGAGTTTATTTGGTTGATCCACTGAAGCATGGATTAAGCAGTGGCCTAAAAACAAATAAACCACTGTCATTGTGTTGATTCCAACTCATAGTGACCCTATAGAACAGAGTAGAACTGCCCCACGGGGTTTCCAAGGCTGTAAATCTTTATGGAAGAAGATTGCCTCATCCTTCTCCCATGGAGTGGCTGGTGGGTTCAAACTGCCATCCTTTTGGTTGGCAGCCCAATGCTTGAACAACAGCACCACCAGAGCTCCCTAACGGTGGTCTACACTAAATCAAATTGAAATGCCAGACCTGCCTTGGCATACAGAAGAAGAAGGTATTGACTGCTAATCAGAAGGCTGGCGGTTCAAACCCACCAGCCACTCCTCGGAAGGAAGATGGGGCAATCTGTTTCTGTAGTGATACTGCCCCAGAAACCCAAGGAGGGGTCGCTAAGAGTCGGGTCTGACTCCATGGCATATAACAACAACAGCAAAGGCTTAGGGGAATTGGCATGTTGTTGTTGTTGTTGTTATGTGCCGTCGAGTCAGCCCTGACTCATAGCGACCCCTCCTTGGGTTTCCGAGGCAGTATCACTACGGAAGTAGGATTGCCCAACCTTCCTTCCGGGGAGTGGCTGGTGGGTTTGAACCGCCAGCAGACTTCTGGTTAGCAATCAAGTGCCTTAGCCACTATGCTACCAGAGCTCCAGGAATTGGCATATTAGAGTGGAATTCTCAGGTTGGGCGACAGACCCACCCATGCAGAGCCCAGAGGACACAACTTGTATCACGACAGTGAGAAACGAATTTGCATACTTGGTGGGGGCTGGGAATTGGTTAAGTCACTCACCTTGTACATTCTGTCAGTGATGAAGGACTGGTCTCGGAGACCTTCAAAGAAGGGAAACGGCTTGTGTATGGCGTAGGCGATCTCCAGCTTCTGGTGTATGAAGTGCCGAAGAAGGGCCTCTTCCAAGGCCTTGGTCTCAGTGAACATCCTGTGAAAAGAGGAGCGAGGACTGTGAAGAGCTTGGGGAGCTGCTCTCTGCGGTCAACAGGCCTCTAAAGACAGCCATGCTGATCGCAAACGTCATCCCTCAGGTGTTCCCAATGTAGCATCTGCCTAAAAGACTAGTGGATGTGGGAAACGCTGACAACTCCAAATTCCATGGGCTGCGAGCCACTTGATGGTAGTGAGTTTGGTTTTTCAGTTTTATGAGTGACCTGCAGGATGATGCCAAAATCTCGAAGGGCTGCTGGTAAACATAATGCAAATATTAAAGCTTTTTGGTGGTGCTGGTGTTAACTGATGTCAGGCTGGCTCCAACTCACGGCGACCCTGTGTACGACAGAACAAAACGCTGCCCGGTCCTGCGCTATCTTCGTGTTTGTTGCTATGTTTGAGTGCTCACTCAACTCACTGCTGTCCAGGCAGATCCGACTCATAGCGACCCCTCCTTGGGCTTCC